TCTATTGAGCACATATTTCTCAATAGGACCAGGGGCGGATGGGACCGTCGGGACACCGAAATTGGGCCGCCTTCACTGGAGTTCCTAATGAAAAAACTTTTTTAAAAGTGTTAAAAATACTAGATGCATTGCTATTTATGTTTGCAATGGCAAATTGATGTTTTTTCTACAATTAATTTACCTGTAGACGTAAGTTAGTTTTCTACCAGGAAATTATTATAAATTGTCATTAAGAATTGTCATTAAATAAAAAGTGCCAAAAAATGTTCGTTTAAGCTTTTGTATTTGGTTAAATAGAAGAAAAAGCTTCAAGAAATAGTTCCGGTTGATCTAAAATCTCAATAGGTTACGGGTCCAGTCACACATACGTGAAAACGAGAAACGGGACTAGTTGGTTCGGCATATAAAAGTGACAGTTTCAGAGTTTCGGAAAAGTGTAGCCTTTGTGCATAATAACAACAAAAAATAATAAAAACGAAAACAAAATGAACAGCGATACGACACTAAAATTAACGGGAGGAAATTGGCCAGTGTGGAAATTTCAAACAACAATTATTTTGAGTAAAACCTTTAGCAGCAGGGGATGATTTAAACAAGTGGCTCAAGGATGATGCAAAAGCTCAAGAACTTCTTGTAACAAGAATGGAACAGAGTCCACTTACACATATTTTGTCATGTGATACGTCGAAGGATATGTGGCAAAAGCTGAAGGCAGTGTACAATAGAGAGTCGGTAGTAAGTATCCATTTACTACAACAAAGATTTTTTATGCTTAATTTTGGAAATTCAGTATCAGATTTTTTATCTCAAATTGAAGAAATTAAAACAAAATTAAAAACAGCAGGTGAAATACTCTCAGAAAAAATGATCATAACTAAAATCTTAATGTCCTTGCCAGAAAAATACATACATTTTAGATCAGCATGGGAGTCCGTTGCTGCAGATAATCAGACTTTAGAGGAACTCACATCTCGGCTGTTGTTGGAAGAAGAAAGGTGTAAATCACAAGAAAATTTGATTGCACTAGTTGCTAATAAAGTGAATATGAACCAAAACAGGACAGGGCAAATAAGATGCTGCTACATTTGTTCAAAACCAGGTCACATTTCAAAAAATTGTTTTTTCAGAAATAAAAATAACCCAGCAGGACAGAGATCAGGAAACCAAGAAGAATTTGGAGGCAGGGCCGGCCCTACCCTAAAGCGAACGGAGCGGGCGCTCCAGGCGCTAGGTCTCGGGGGGCGCTCCGACTCGTTCCTTGGTGATAAAAAAGGAAAGAAAGAAAGCGTGTGGTTAGCATGTGATTAGATAGATAAAGACATATCATATTACATAATAATATGTAATGTTTCTGAATTTTGAATCGGAGAGGATGGTTGATCTTGGGTAGCTTAAGCTATCTCCACTTGACGTTTCTGACAGAATTTGCAAATTAAAGCAGAGTCTCAGTGTTGGGCCAGTTGGCATACCGTTTGTTTTCCTAGAATGCTGCTGAAGGTTTGTTCTGTCTCAAATTTTGTGTGATATTTTTAATATGTCATTGTCTACTGATACATATCCAGAAGCCTATGGTATTCCAGTTTTTAAAAATGGAGACAAATCAGACATTGAAAATTATCGAGCAATATCAAAGGTCTCCTTGGTAGCCAAAGTTTTTGAAGGTATTGTTGCAAATAAAATCGCCCCACATTTTAAGAATGTCATTATCAATGGACAACATGGTTTCATGAAGGGATGATCCACCATAACAATGATCAAAATCCATGCTCGAGCAAATACTTCATTCATACATATAAGGAATTCATTTGCATTTTATTACTATTTAATAGTCATAAACAGGAGCTGAAACTCAGCAGGAGGTAGATTTTAGAGGTAGATCTTAGAGGTAGATAGGGAGATGGGTGAGTTGTACTAGCCCAATGCTCTGCTTTCTTATTTAAAATTGGCAACCCAATTTTTTTACCTAATGAAATAGGTAGGTAACTATTCCCTTTATTTTCTCCAGTATAAGGGGTATATGCACGTGGCCGAACACAGTAAATGAGGCAAATAATTTATTGAATGTTAAGACATTTCTTATATCGGTGAATAGAGTATACGATTCACATTTAAAATAGGGGCGCCAAAGTAGGATCTCGCTCCATCCTAAAAGTAACCTCGGGCCGGCACTGTTTGGAGGAGACAGATCACAAATAAGGAAATTTTGTACATATTGTAAAAAGAAAAATCACAATATCGATCAGTGTTGGATAAAAAAGGGAAAAGAAAGTATAAATAATAAAAAGGAAAATATGGACTCGGAAAATGCATTTATGGTTTATAGCAACAAATTAAGAACAGGCGACTGGTGTCTGGATTCTGGTGCTAGTGAACACATGTGTTGGGACAAGGATTTATTCGAGAACATAAATGACCTGAAAGTATCAAAGATGGTTCAAGTTGGAAATGGCCAAAAGCTCGAGGTAAAGGGCATTGGAAAAATAACATTATGGGCATACAACGGTCAGAAATTATTAAAAACCGTCCTATCAAATGTTCTGTTCGTACCTGATTTGAAGTTCAACTTGTTTTCAGCAGGATGTGCTCTAGACAAAGGGTATTTTATGATGTCAGATCATGAAACATGTCAATTTGTTGATGGACATGGCAATATAAGAGCCCTAGCTACAAGAATTAATAAATTATATAAAATGCATTTTAGCTATGAAAATAAGGACTATAATATATCAACTTGCTTTGCACAAGATTTACAGGAACAGGCATTAGAAAGAAAAATTGGTTCGTTGGGAGTCGATGAATTTGATACTAAACCTTATGATTGCATGAAAGTAAAAACAATAGATAATATTAAAGAATGGCATAAAAGGTTGGGTCATCAAAATTTAAAATATGTAAGAGAAATCCTGAAGAGAAATAATATTGAATTTACAGATTGTGAAAAGGATTTTGTATGTGAACCATGTCTTGCCGGAATACAGCATCGATCAAGTTTTGGAAATAGCGAATCAAGGGCCACTGCTCCTTTGGAGTTGGTGCATGCTGATGTTTGCGGGCCTATGGAGACAACGTCATTGGGAGGCTCTCGCTACTTCCTTCTTCTCAAAGACGAATTTTCATCATTTAGATGTGTATATTTTTTAAAGCAAAAATCAGAGGTCAAACATACATTAAAAAATTTATAAATTTAGCAGAGCGAGAAAAGCACATTCCCACCTAAATACACAATATACTATTTCATTTTTAATAAAAAAACAGTCGCAATCGAACATAAAATCATGTACCTATACGGGGTGTTCCGAAACTATTGTGCCAAAAATTAAGGGATGATAGATCTCGCCAAAATGAACGTTTCTCACTTATAAACCCGTAGGCGCATGCGCTTCGGTTAGGTGATAATAGCACATTACAGTCCGCGCTGTAGTAGCCACCTTGCTCACGGAGAAACGTGTTCGAATCAGAAAATGTGCTATTAAATAATAAAAAAACCCAAGGAATGCTTGCAGTATTCATTAGCAACAATTATTCATATTAAAAGATGCTGAAAATTACGACCACCCGCCTCAATGCATGCCTGAAATATCGACTACAGGAAACCCTTCCCGAACTGTTAGAAACTGTTTCCCTGTATGCCGGACAAAACATGTGGTACCAACATGACGGAGGTCCACCACATTAGGTACTCGTAAGCCGTAAAGGAACATCTCAACGAAACATAATCTGGAAAGAGGGTTTGGTAAGGGCGCACCTATTGCATGGCCTCCAGGTTCACCAGACCCTGACCGAATGCGACTTTTTGTTATGATGTCATATGAAAGTGAACGACACTCAAGTTGAAACAGAGGAATAGTTAGTGGGAAGGATTGTTGCAGCAGCTGCTGAAATTCGCGAGGAATTTTTCAACGTGTTCAGGAGGCTATGCTATAGCGCTGTCATGAATGCATTAAGGCCGGTGGTCGTAATTTTGAGCATCTTCTGATGTGATTCATTGTTTTTAATAAATACTGCAAGCAGTCCTGGGACTTCTATATTATTTAATAACACAGTTTTAGCTTCAAACACGTTTCTTCGTGCGCAACGTAGCTACCACAGCGCGGATTGTAATGTGCTATTATCACCTGACCAAAGCGCATGCGCCTATGGGTTTATAAGGGAAAAACGGTTATTTTGGCGAGATCTATCATCCCTTAATTTTTGGACACAATAGTTTCGGAACACCCTGTATAAAACTTACATAAACAGGCTTTATTGACTCATTAGGTATTTAATAGCCATAAAATTATTCGTACGATAAAGCCTTACTTTATGTACTTGTTATTATAAAAAGTTATTCTTCACTTCCGGAAATCGCTATGATAATGTAGGTATAGCTCTACTCTACTGACTGTTGGCAATAAGAAATATTTTCTCTTTTCAATAAATATTTACTGCTTTCCATGAATTCATGGTTTTGTTTATGTATCGGACTTCGGATTTGATGTTCTGGTTCAGAAAGTTTTGTATACATCTAATACCTATATAAAATTCCACGTCACAGTTTTAGTTACCTTCGTCCTCCGAAACGGCTTTACCGATTTTTATGAAATTTTATGCCATATTCACCATTGAAAAAAACTGAATTTAATTTATCTACTAGATACGTTAACACAACATTTAATAGGTATTTAATAATTCATAGGCGGTACGAAGTTCGCCGGTTTAGCTAGTATGCATATAATATTAATGTTGACTACCTACTACTTCAAATCAAATTAATTAGAAGACGATGGGCATTATAGACAATGTTGAAAGCTGTATAATTCCAAACTAAATCCGACATAGATTTTTTCCAATCCGAGTATTCAAATTCTTCTTTTTTAACGGACTGTTGTTTGTTAAGCCATTTTTCCTCTATTCTTGTTCAAAGAATTTTCATAGAATTCAATTTATCCAAACAATTATTAGAACCAGACCCTTAAGGGCCTCAGGTTGAGCTTCCCAACAATAATTGACTCCAGATAAGCTGGTGATTCAATCCAAAGCCAATTGAAAACTGAATTGAGTGAAAATTCAATATTTTTTTACTTTGTGGGTTCAGTTAGAGTGAGAAACAAACAAAATTTTGTTCAAAGAATGTATTACAAAAATACAAATTAATGTTTTAGCCTCCCGGCACCGGTATTCATACGAATCCCGGCTTTGGCGCGTTTTAAATGACGTCATCAACAACAACCGGTAACTGTCGTGGATCCCGGCTAGTGCTATATAAGATGTTAATAATTATTATGTTCATTGGTATTGGGGCAGATTTATTATGAAGAGTAAAAAAAGTAAACAAAGATGAGCTTTTATTAATGGAAAATAAAATTATGACTTTTTATTATAATATGTAGGTACAGGGTCATTTTGAAAGTTTGTTCAGCATTTGATCTTGTACAGCAACGCCGTTAATGTTCAGCAACATTACACAGGGACCACAGGGTGCCCTAAAATTAGAGGTTAATATTTCAACTGCGGATTCTACATCTCAAATTAAGAGCAAAAATTCCTATAAACATGGGTCCAAGAGTACCCTATTCAGAGATACAGGCTGTTAAAAAAGCTATAGTTCTGAATAATGGATGAAAATAAACTATACTAGGTATTCCCTTTTTAAACCACTACTACGAAAAGTGGATTAACGAAGTACTTACCACTCTAATACCCAATATCACAACAAGAAACAATAATACACAAAAGCTATTTCGGAAGTAATCACAGCTTCAAGCAGCAAGAGAAACACGACTTTGAATTTTGAATCCTATAGCCGGGACCCACGATAAATCCCGGCGGTCGTTGATGGAGTCATCAAAAACGCGTCATAACCGGGATTCGTATGAATACTGGTGCCGGGAGGCTAGACACAGCGAAAAAAAAAAAAACAAAAAATACAGGTCTGCAGTGGATTATTAGGTTCAAAAGATGTGAATACAATTTTTTTTTCAAAAATAATTAAACAGGGGGATTTATTATATTTAAATAGTATATTAAAGTGTGTTTTTTTTTTTAAGATAAAAGTCAAAATGACATTATGTCACACATTATGTTGGCAATTCAATGTAAAATTGTCAATGCTTTCAAATTTTTTATGTAGAAAAGGCTTGTAGTGTTGCCAACATAGTTACTAAATTTTTGACTTGGGGAATTATCTTAAAAAAAAAACAGACCTTATACATACCGAATAGGGAAGTGTTTCATAACTGTCGAGAGATTTATATAGTTGACTATTAATCTCGAGACAGAAATGAAAACTTTCCTCCAAGATTTGTATACCTACTATTTTATTTGCAAGCACACCATTAATCATGATTAGTCAGGTAATTTTTTTGACATTAAAAAAAAAATAAAACAAACATGCCAAAATCTGTCATTTACTGTTTTGAAGTTTTTACCTGTCACGTTTCCATTGTTCCCAGCAAAGGTGAATAAATTGGAGTGAAGAAGATCGGTGAGGGAAATCAAATATGGAAATCGGTGAGGGAAATCAAAGAGGAAAGTGACACAGGTAAAATGACACTTCCAAAAGTCAGTAATGTCAAGGTTTTGTGATGTCAAGATTACATAATATGGTTGCAGATAATAGTATATTACATACCGAGTTTGGAAGTGTTTCATTGCTGTCGAGAGATTTATATCTCGAGACAGAAATGAAAACTTTCCTCCGAGGTTTGTATACTATTTTATTTGCAAACACACCATTTTTTTAATATTAAAAAAACATGCCAAAATCTATCATTCACTGTTTTGACGTTTTTACCTGACAGGTTCTAATTGGTCCCAGCAAAGGTAAATAAATTAGAGTGAAAGAAATTGGTGAAGAAAATCGAAGAGGAAAGTGACACAGATAAAGTGACACTTTTCGACAATTTTTAAAAAGTCAGCTATGTCAAAATTAGATATATGATTGCAGATAAAATATATTACATATTCCTCATACCAAGAATATAAATTAGGAATACATTTTAATTTTTGTCAAAAATCAAATATTATCAGAAAATCAAGAACTGTCGATTTTATATGTTTTTGAATGGCATTAAATCCAGCTCTTTTCAACCACAGTATTTTGCACACAACCATCATATGAGTAATTAAGCTTTAATTTTTTTTATTTCACTAGCAGATGACATTAAGATGAACTAAAACAAAAATAAATAAAAAGCATAGGTAGGATTTGTATTTACAGAGTATTTCAAAAACATACACCCAGTATATGTAGTTCAGTCACACAATAATTTTAATGGTTAATCTAGATAGGAAATCAAAAATCACATATAATCGACAAGAAAAATATAATATTCACTAATCTACGGCAACAATTTATTAAACTGACACTCGCAAAAGGTAACATCAAATTAAACTAAAACTCTCACTTTGCAACAAATCTTAAAAGCTAAAAATCGTATAGTTTTGGAAGCGTAATTCATTTACTTATAGGCAGTTCAAGCCAGGAATAATTTATTTAATTCCTTGAATAAAACAATAAATAATTTACAAAAAAATCGTTTAGCAGTTAGCACCAAGCTCAATATTATTGGCATTATAGCCTGAATAAAGTAGAAACAGCTATGGTTTTCAGTTTTGCAATAAATAGACGAATGAAGCCCACAAAAATCATATTTTTTAGAGGTACACAAACTTTTTTCAAATTGCGCATTCGGGAAATATTAACAAGAAATACAAAAACTTACAACATTGAATTGAGATCAAAGCTTCCTTATTCTTTGAGCAAATTATTGAATAAATTTGGATATTAGACATCAACAATTTATAAATTTCACACTACTTACTATATATTTTTACCTAGAGAACTAAAATTTAGTCTTTGGGGAATTTTACCTTAATAATACTCTACTTTTTATATGAGGCCCTGCAAATAAGAAAGGGTCCACTAGGAATTGAACTGATTCATTTGAATGACCAATAGCTACATATTTTTTTTTAAGGCTGCTAAGTCTCAGGTTATAAGTGTATATGTGAAAGAGTCTTTAACACGGAAATTGACTCTTTACTGCTCATATGTTAGATTTGAACTACTGACACTCTGACACTACTTATTTTACACATGATTTAATTTAAAATTTTTTACATAATTTTCAATTTGCAAATTTTATTCATCAAAAACAGAATTAATGAAAGTCATTGGTTCAAAGGCAACATCGCGCCGACACAATATTTCAAAATGTTAAACTTTGTCACAAGTTGCTTTTTATTTATTTATTTATTTATTTCAAGCACTTAACACGTTGATGACCCACCCAATTACAAAGTACAAAATAGGTCTATTTCTACAGAAATCACAAACCAGTCAGACTAGTTTGTGATTTCTGCAGAAACAGACCTATTAGTTCCAGTCAACTTCTTTCAAGCTAATTTCAAAATAATTCCAGAATTTTTGAGTAATTAAAGAAATCTATAACTACTGAAATTAGCTGGAATTTAGGCGGGTATTCAATCTAATTCTGATGCGTATTGAAGGATGAACAAGTGGTCAAAAATATATAGTTACTAAAACTTGTTGTACTATGGCTGTCGATATGTACCATGTACCATTATTTGATCTGTACCCTTTCACACCTAAACAACGATTGACGAAAAACCTTGGCAAACGCTGATATGAAAAATCAGTCATTTCAAGTCTAGTTCCTACACTAAAAAGCCTCAATAAAAGCTCACTTAAATTATGTCAAAATTTTCCTATTTTTACAGTCTTCAAAAATCACCTATAATAATACTACTTCAACATAGAGAGCTGCTACAGAAATTTAGATTTCTTATTTGTCATGGGATGTAGGTAATCACTAATCAGGATTGAAATCAAAAGAATGTATCCATTCCTCCTTGGTACACTTAAAAAACAAATACATTTTTCTTGTTTGAAAAATAATAGTCAGCAATAAAGAAAAATCAAGCCGCTTTTTTGGTATTACCACTCATACTCATATAAACACCCTCTACAATCTTGTTCTTCAACTGAATAACAGGGGAACTCATTGGAACATAAAAGTTTTCAGTCAAAATTTTCTTGGTTCTCTCCAGTGTTTTGTTGGGGCTCATTACAACGTAGTCCGATTCTACAGCGCTTTGAGGATTGGAGTTGAAAATTTGCGATATTTTGGCAAGGTCTTTTGCTGGAAGGGTGTTGCAACGTTGCTTGCAGGGCGAAATTGGTGGAACTTCAATTGGTTCTTTACGTCTGCAAATTAATTAATTAAAAAATGCATTTATAGTTCAAACTGAGTCTTACCTCTGCAAAGTAAAACTAGTAAAAGTTCTTGGTGGCAATGGAGGTGCTTTAAAAAAAAATCCCAACTTTTTATCAAAAACCATTTCAAAAGGATTCTCGTAAATGTGACTAAGCTGCTTTAAATCTGTTAAAGAATTGTGATTATTTTGATTTGTTGATTGATAATCATCAGGGATTTCTTCATAAATCCCGGAAGACAGGGATACTCCAGACTCGTTTCTTGGCATAGAAATTTTGAGGTGTTCTAGAGAAGGCACCCTCAAATCAGGATAAGAATCCTCAGTCTCGCTACCTCCAGGAGTTTTGGTAATCTCGCTCATACCCAAATTAACTAGATTCGATTCAGTCTTTGATTTCAATGAATACTCATTATCCTCTGATACGTTTGAATTTGGTACTCCAGAATCCTCACTTCCTGTTTGACTTCTAAAGCACAACGGACTATCAGGCACGCTGCTTCTGCTACCGCAAAGATCACCTTCGCTGCGGCTAAATCTCTTAGCACATAAAAGACCGGAACTGAATCGAGCTCCTTGTCCTCTAGAGATCAAGTAGCGTAGCAACTGAGGCCCTTCTCTGCAATAGAGCAGCAGCTGTCCGGGACCTGCTGGAAATTCTCTGCTTGTATGCATTACGACGATTTTTTTGTCATCGTTTTGCTCACAAGTAGCTTGCAAATGGAATTGATGAAAATGGTACCATTTCCAACCGATTTTTGGAGCTCCCGTGCAGGGATCGTTGATTACGATTTCCTGGGCGTTTGCATTTAAGACTCCATAGAGGCCTAGAAGGCCCGCGTTTCTAGAATGCTCAGTGTCTACTAAGGATATGCGAAAATTGGAATAATCGTCAACTAAAAATAATGAATGTGTAAGAGATTAAATAATGAAAAATTGTGCCATACCAATCACAAAAAAGTCTTGAGTCATTTTTCTTGTTAAAAACCAATATTTTTGTTATAAGATTTCAACTAAAGTTAGAATTATTCTGATTAATTTTTGATTTTTGTAGAAAATAGGTTCTTACCAGGTATGTAGGTGGCAATACTGAGCATCCTCCTAATAGAAATCATCCATTCTTGCGAATCGCTCTCGCTACAGCCGGCCAAAAACAAGAGGGCCTTTTTCGTTCTCCTTAAATTAAATACGCCGAAAGCGAAATGTTTGGTTCTAGAATCGGTGCGGCACAAAGTGGCGGATCTAGGCACTTGAACGCAATTAAGAATGTTGCCGTCTTCGGAGGATTTCAGTTTCAGTTCTACCCCCACTTCGATGTCGTCTTTGCGACGAATTTCGCACCACTGTCTTTGCCAAGCCTGAAATACAGATCAATAGAAAACAACTCTTTACGCATCTGTTTGGATCGTTGGTTTGGACCCTCAAAACCTTAATAAACCTGTCATAAGAAAATGATATCAATTACCTACATTTGAGGATCTTGTTTCAAAAATGGAAAAACCCTCAATTTTTTTCCATTTCAGATGCAAAAGAAGGATTTTATCAAACAAAGCTATATAAAGGTTCACAACTTCTAACAACATTTAATGCAGACCACAGATTAACAACTAAAAACGACAGGTACAACACAACAGTAAACAAATAATTTGCGATCCAATATCCATAAGCTCGATTTTTGCAAGAAATGCCTGGTTACCAATAATCTGATGTGATTTTCAATATTAAATGTCTTCACGGATGAAGAGATCGTACTGGAAATACCAGAGGAGGGGATGTAGTCTTGGCCCTGAAGAAAATATCTGGCATGAAATTATCAGTATCGCCATGAATGTGGAATTTGTGTTAGTAAAAATTAAAAATAAGAATAACTTTTTATATTTGTCCGTGGTTTATTTACCACCAAATTGTGATACAGGTAAGAAAGAAAACTTTTTAAACTTTTTTGAGAGGCTAGATATAGTAAATAGTAATTGTCTAATAATGGGTGCTTTTAATATGCCAAAATATGAAAATTGTAGCAATGAAAAAAGTCTATTGTTGGCAGAATTTTTAAACTTGCATAATTTATGCCAGCATAACTTGGTTAAAAATTGTATGAATAGAGTCTTGGATTTGGTTCTCACTGATATTGATATTTCAGATATATGTAGAAGCGACAGCCAGTTAGTTAAGGAAGTTAGTTATCATCCTCCACTACAGTTTTATCTAACATACAGAAGTTCTGATATTGGAGATAAATTTTTGAACAAGTCGACACATATACATAACTCAAAAATCCCTTCTTGTTCAGAAATTTTAATAATGCCTTCTGTGTGAGATATATTTAGATGCTCATAGGTATAATTTTGTACCTAACACATACGGAAAATGCCTTTACCGCACTTAACGACTGCCGTTGCGTGCAGTAAAGGATCACTTCTGCATTTGTTAGGTGAATAACTATTATTTTTGCTGTTTTATTTTACCTGCTAGGCTAGGATAGCTTTCATTCACTTATTTTGAAATTTCTTCAAATTTCTTCTGTTCTGAAATCTTCAATAATTTGTCAAAACTTTATAATCAATAATTGACTATCCTTATTTTAAACCTATTTATGAGTTAATAAACGATAAACTGTAGGTAATGACGTTTTAAATTGAAATAATTACTATGAACTATGACCATGGTCATGACCGTCATGACACGTCATGACGCAAATGACCGTCACGATTTTAAATGACCGTCATTTTACATCACTGGTTACCGGGTGATATGGATTGCGTGAGTGAATGGTTTAAGAAGAACAAGATGAAATTGAATATTAAAAAGTGTTATGTAATGTCTATTGCCACAAAATCCAACTATATTGAGTTTAATTATAGTGTAAATGGTAGGGTTTTGGACCGAATAAGTGAGGTGAAGGACTTGGGTGTCATTTTCAGTCTAATTTTAATTTTAACAATCATTATATATACAGTGAGTTCATAAAGTTCCGCATAAATTAATTATTTTGTAAACGGTAGAATTTTTGAAAAATCGCTCAGGCACGTCAATTTTGTTTTTTTGTTTGAAATTTTTCAATATATTTTTTATCATATAGGGTGTCTCAAAAATAGCTTCACTGGTACCAACTTTATTTTTTTTCTTCTTCTGCGGAAAATTCTAGACATATTTCATGTATAATGTTATATTATCTTCAATAGTTTCGGAAATATTGACAGTTGGAAAATCACTTTTTTGCAACTTTGACAGGCTGTAAAAGCTAAACCATTAATTTTAAAGCAAAACCGATTTCACATTCTCGTGTGTAACTTTTCATAAGCTATTATTTGACACAAACTTTGAATTAAACTGCAGATTAAATTTAACCGGAATTTTCAATCACGGATTAACTTCAAAGATAGTGTCAAATGATAGTTCATGGAAAACTAAGACAAGAATGTATGATCGGTTTTGTTGTAAAATCAACCGTTCAGGTTTTACAGTCTCTCAAAGATGCAACAAAGTCAATTTTCAACTGTCAATATTTTCGGAAAAGTTGAAGATAGGTAGGTATATGACATTATGCATGAAATATGTGAAGGGGTGAGAACCAAAAGGGTCCAACCGACAAATTTTTCATTTTGAGATATTTGAAGTTGAAGTTAGTTGCTTACTGTAAATTCTGTAGATATTTTTTCACGATTTTTTTGATGTTATTTAATACGTAATATGTAACTGTTTTTTGTTAGGATTATAAAATTTTGCTAATGTTCTTATTTTTTTTTGTTAATGCTACTTAGACCCTTATGGTTTTAAACGATGGAAGCAAAACAAAAATTCAGCAATAGTTTTATTAGGAAAATACAACTCATAATAGAAACATGAAGATTTTAGTATGCTTATCATAATCGCAAGTACTTTCAGTATTCTTCGTAGTCGTCAGATAGTACTACGTCGTCTTCTTGATCAGTTTCATTTTGTGTTTCTTCTTCAGTTTCATTTTGTGTCTCTTTTTCAGCTTTATTTTGTGTTTCATTTTTTTTTGAACCACTTGGTTTTCCCTTTGTCTTCTTGTTCGAGACTTTTGCTTCATGGGGCATTTTTTGGTAAAAATCGTGGTATATCGGAGGAATGTACGGCAGAAGTTGAATCAAATTTTCCCATTTAGCCTTTTTTATTTTCAACGTAGTCGAATAAAGAGACTTTTCCAATAACTTTTTTATGGACAATTTTGGTCTTCCTACTGGAAGCGCAGAACATTTTTGAGAGTGAATCGAGGGAAAAATTGGATTTCTAGTTTGGTTGAACGAGAAACAGAAAAAATCTTCATTTCTGTACGTAAACCATACTATCTGTCGCCACTTTAATGGTTTCTTCTCCATATCCTTCTTAGGATCTGTGATAATACTATTAAGGTAGTCAAAAGAGAGAAAGTCCTCCTGCTTCATGTCAATAACTTGAAATTTATTTGACGTGTTTCTTATTAGCTCGGACCAGTTCTTTGGAATAAAGATGTTTAAAGCTTTTTTTTTAGCTTTTTCAATACGGGCAAATGAACGATCACATTCCATGTACGAATGTCCAGATTCTAAAAATTTGTGGTGTATTATTTTCAAACTTGTGGTTTGAACGAGAAACATGAACAATTTTGTGATGTTCTTATTTTTGTTCTGGCCTCCACATTGGTCGCTGTAGCAAATAAGTTCTTCAATATTTGGCGGCAAGGTCATAATGTACTGAAAAAAAAGGTTCTAGTAATTTTCTAATAAGAAGAACTTGTCTTAAAATATAAGGTACCTTAATTAAGCATGATCCTATTTCTTGTGATCCTCGCTGGCCGATGGTTTCATCCCAAATGTACATAGAGGATATTCCAGTTACTAGATCATGAATACAAAGGTTATATGTCCACAATTGACGTAAGTAAAATACTTTATTAGTTGAAAGAAAAGGAGTAGGTAATGTTTTCTGGAGATCAAAGCAAATCACCCGAACTTTATCCGGATTTTGTCTTCCGTACTATATATCGAGTTTTTTGACATTTTTTACACTCTCAACTTTCCTTTGGTGAAGTTCTAGCTCGGCTTTGCTTTGCGTTTTAATGTTTTCATCAGGACTATTGTTTATCAAATTATTTAAACGATCGCATGTGTGACATGTATCTGAGTGGGGCTTATGGAATTTAAGATTAAATTCGTTACAAAAAACACTTCGATAATACGATTCTTTAACTGGGGGAATGTTTTTTGTTTCATTGCACCATATTTTATATAATGAATACATCTTCCTTATGCATAAATCCTCTGGAAGATAGCTTGTATAACCATTTTGGGACTGCTTTTATAGCGGGGAAACATTTTAATATGCGTTATTACATTATTTCTGGTAACTGCGTCAATTTTGTTTTTTGGGGCGTGATGTCCTCGTTTATCAGTGTCAGTAAACCCATCAGCATTTTTCTTTTGACAAACTATTCCAAATCTTCTATTGGTTATATCAAAGGTTTTCAGGAAAAACTTTTTACAAACTCGTGTGCCCATAAGAGTTATTATTGTTGTAAATTGTTTTTGTGAAACTGCATTTCTATTAGGTCTTTTTGGGGCAGATTTCGTTATACAAGAGGCTAAATATTGTGTTTGTAGATCATATGACTGCAAACTATAAAATTTTTCAAACAGTAATTTCCTCCGCTCTTCCTCAATTTTATCGCATCCGTATCTGCATCGATGATTGTATGGTTTTAGTTCTCTCTTCCTAATTTCTTTCCCATTTAAAGCTACGTACTGCTGTCCAGTTAATCTCGCACGCTTACGTTTCTGCTTCTGGTTCTCGTTTCGTTTTCTTTTTCTAGCCTTCCTTGGTGTCACTGAAAAAAATATAGAGTTTTCAACTTTATTAATATAAAACAAGTGATCAATGCTTGCATACCATGTTCTTCATTATTAGAAGTCTCACTTTCTGTGTCGTCGGTTCCAGCTTCAACGATTCTGTTAGGTGAATTGGGCAAATATTCGCTGTCCTCATCTGTTTCATAGGGATCAGTATCAGTCGCAGTGTCTTCTGAATCTGACAAATAAATATTTTTTGCTAATTTGGGCGATTTCTCTCAATTTTTTGCTTAATACTAGTGTTAGTTAAAAAAAGTTTAACAACAAACCTTACCTGAAATATTTTCCTCGTTTTCATCCATTATTGAACACTTTAACTCTCACAATTTGTATTCAAAAATCGTAAATCGTAATCACACTATTGCACACTAGACAAAAATCACCATACTAAACGCAATTTTCCGCCAAAAACAGACAGTCTGCGTATTGAACAGTTTAAAATATTCAACAAATATCTAACGTCAAAACGATCCAAGTGATCTTGGACCATTTTGCATATTAAGGAAATA